CAGATTTTCAAAAGATTAGAACACAAAAAATAAAGCTAGGGTTAGAAATAATTAGGATATTATGACAATACATTCTTACAAAGTGTGGCATGCAAGCCATAGGTGATGCTTGCTTTTAGTATGGATAACTAGTAGCTCCTTAATTTGGCGTAATCATGTTTTATCAAAATTGGAAGGCATTTGTATGTCAGATGTTGAACAGCACAGAATCAAAGACATATTTTGCCTCAACTCTCCACTGTAGCCAAATTAAAAGATATCCGCAGATAAAACTACAAAACACAAATGAAATGGTTCTAGTACTAGCAAACTTGATCATAATATATTTTATTTTATAATTCATCAGAGAAAATACTGCTCCGTCCGACACACTCAGCTTCAAAAATATCTTCCATAGGTCTGGAATAAATCCAAATTGAATGACAGACATTTATAAACAGATCAGCAGATGGTTGTAACAGCCATGTATAATTTGTTATTGGCCTTGAAAAACAATTCTACGCAGTTAATGGTTTTATATATAACTAGAAATCGTAAAACATGGTTGTTTCAAAAAACAGCAGAAGACATGAAAATAAATAATTCTTGTGTGCTGACTTCTGCCTGCTAGAATGTGATGTCTCAGAGGCAGAGATGGCTCCTGCCAATATTTATAAAGCTAACTGCAAAATACTATAATCAAAACTCAATGCCTGAAAATGATTAACATTACATAATGCAAAAGCAATTGTGTGATACCTCACAAATGTTACTTGTTCAGACATTGAAGTATGTGTGTGTGTTCACATAAACAAACCTCTTTGAATGACAAATATAAATACAACAAAAAATAAATAAAAGACCCCTTGGCAAAGAAATAAATCCTTTAATTCCCTTTGAGTACTTATCTCCAAATACCCATATAAATACCTGAGTTACAATTTGGCAATTCCTAATGAGGAGGAAAGTGGCAAATTTGAGTCTAAAAGTCAGACAGTTCTTTAGAAATGTTAATCAATGCCGCTGCCCAGGCTCCAGTTCAGGAAAGCACATGGGACAGTTTACTCAAAAGACAAATCTGCAAGATACACTATTGTTTCAGTTACTCTGATATACTATCTCCCAGGCCGAGAAAGAGGAAACTGATTTCTTGCTAGTAAAATTATAAACATTAACTTTTAGAAATCACACATATGTGATATGCTTTTTTGATGCACCTATGGTAAGTTTTCTGATTTTACAAAAATAACTTGACTCAGTAAGTCTACAGCACAAACACCTAATTCTTAGAGAAACGACTGCTTACAGATGAGTACACCATATTCCACTTGTTGGGTTGATATGTTACAAGTGTCTCTACTACATTCATCATTCAATGTTAGAAATAACTCCAAAAGAACATTCTGAAACGTATGGAAGACCATCTTGCCATGCTCCTCTCATTGTAGCAGTCGGTTATTAAACCAGGAGAGAGAAGCAGAATCAGGCCCAACTGTGAACAGTTTCAACACGTAACATAATAGTCTGCATCTTCCCACACTTGTTTTGATAGTGATCCAGGCCAGCTGATTATGTGACAAGACAAATAGATCCTTTAGACCTCTTCTGTCTGACAGGGACCAAGGGTTAAATTCTTAATTATTCAGATTAAGGTGTTGAAGCAAATGCTGGCGGGTAAAAAATAGTATGTCCTGATAATTTGGAATTTAATGTGCAAAAGGACTTTCTATCTTTAAATGTTAAGGTTAACAATATTAGAAATACATAGAGTAATAGAACTTATTCCTTGTCTTATTTTTTCTCATCCAAATTATTTCTGCAATTTTTAAATTAAATATAATTACATCATTTCCCTCCTACTTACTTTCCCCATATGTTCTAATCCTTCTCAAATTCATGATGTCTTTTATTTTATTATTAGTAGTAATAGTCAATATTAAATAATGCTGTAAAGACTATGTTTAAAAAGAGTGACAAGCTCTGCTATAAAGCACAGCCTGGCTTTTTAACTGTAGCCATCCTTTCATCAGCCTTCAAGCACTGGAATCAACTGGACTGTACCAACCACAGCTGGCTCTATAACTTTATATATTATATAAATGAACCTTCAGCCAGGCTTGGCTGTGCAAGCCTGTAATACCTAAATTTAGGAACAGAGGTATGTGGAAGTCTGTTGAGTTCAAGGCCACCCTGCTCTATATCAGGCAGCCAGGGCTAAATAGTGAAGCCATGTCTCAAACAAGAACAAAAACAAAATAAAATGAACTTTGGTTTCTCATAGCACCAGCCTCCCACAGCATTCCCGAGTCATGCAAGTATTTGAACAAGTTGCTTCTCAGTCTTAGCTTCCTTGTGTGGAGAAATAAGATCACTGGCATCCAGCATACTGTTAAGTCACAGGAAGTAGGCATCTGGTGGGCTGGTATTATATCTTTTGCGACCCTTAGTGGACAGAGCTTGGCACAGAGGAATAAGCCACAGGTATCTTGTCTGCTCTACTGCTTTGCTTATTATTTCTTGTGGATTCTCTACTTCAGGTATCTTACTTATAGCCACGAGGAGATACCTCACTCCACTCAGACAAATCTCCACAGGAAATTCATGTCAGCTTCAAAGCATTTGCTCTTCAACCATTCTGCTGTCACTGGTAGCTATCTATCAAGGTGTCCATCTATTACCTTTCCCGTTTCTTTCCACCTCCTACATGGCTTCAAACAAACCTAGTCAGTAAATCTCTCAGCCATTATCCTTCCATCTTTTACTGCAATCAGATTTCCTCCTTCGTGTTTTTAGATAACGTTCAAATGGAATTCACACAGAAAGTCCAAGAAGATGCTATAATCAAGAGACTGTAGCAATGTCAAAAACACTGAAATGCCCCAAGGTGTTATGAGAAAATATGAAAAGACATTGATTATAATCTGTTACCTTCTTAAAGGCTTTACATTTTTTTTTAATTTTACTATAGACTGCAATGATTTTTAACTGGCCTTTTCATTTCTAAAAATCTGTCTTTAAAAAAAAAAAACCTAAAGATTACCAAACAAGAACGATGCTGCACCCCCTCATCTGTATCACCTGTACTCTGTCTAAACACGCTAGACAGGTAAATTCATTACTAACCTGATACTTAATATTACTGAAGTAAATAAACGAGCTGTAGTCCATAGGTTAGACTTTCTGATTCCGTACTTACATGAGCTTTCACACTAACTTCACTGCTCTCCTTAAGTCACATCTGTGTTCCACCCTACCTGTGAACCCACTGCCACCAGACTGTCTCCCACCTCTGCGTCTACTAGCAGATAGACATCTCACTCCTCCCATTATACTTTTCAAAACCTCTCCTCCTCAAAGGCTCTTCAGTGTGCTTTTGGAATAAGGAACCAATCACTGGTGGTCAGGAGTCCTAAGTTATAGTACTGTCTCAGCCATTTCTTTACTGTAGAGACTTAAGAGGCCATTTCCTATCTATAAAACAAAGGAATGTGGCCAGATGATATCTCTTAAAAAAAAAAAAAAAAAAAACACTAATGGAGGAAGCTTAAGTTCAAGTTTTTGATAGTGCTTGGCTAAGCACCTGACCTTTACGTCTCCCAAGATCATTGTAAAAATTAACTCTGACATGCAACTGGGGTGGTTCTACATCAGTTACTTTTACCTAGAGTAGGAGATAGATTAATACCATGCTTCCAGAACAATGAGGCTGGGGAAGCCAGGGTGATTATGAAGTCTAAGGTTTGCATAAAGATACAAAATAGAACTTCTTATACTTAACAGAAAAGCTAATCAATGATGTTTAAAACTACACTCCGTAGGAAAATTGGAGATCAAACACCCATGTAGAGGCACTGGGCATCATAACTTATTTTGGACTTGTCTCCAAACATTTCCATACCCTTTAACATCTAGTAGAATTGGGGGATCTTTGTCTAAGGATGCCATTTGCTTTCTGTAACTTAAGTCCTACCTTTACCATCCTTCACCATACTCTTGATTTAATCTAGACTTTCCCATATCCTCCAAACTCCTCGAAATTTGCACTGATTTATATCAGTGATTCAGTACTTCCTTCAGCTGTTTAGGAACTGAGGAGCATGCATTTATCTGTGTATTTCCTTCTCTCATTCCCCCAGTTTTTTCCTTCAAGAACCACAGTGAAAGAAGATGTTCAAATAAGCTAGTTTCTATTATCATATCATCCCACATACAGAGAAAGCAATTACATATTATATGGAAAGAAACAAAGTAACAATTTTATAAAAATTAAAGCTTACTGTTAACTTTTCTAAGTTGGATTTACTATATTAACCTATGTATTTTTCTATTACTTTGTATTAGTGGGAGTCTGCTTCAATATAGAACACAAAAGGAGTCTCCAAGTGTACCAAGCATTCTCTTATTAATAAAAGCCTATTACCTACCCCATATAACAGATAATGACTAACACCCTGAAGTGACTTCCAAGTACTCAAGAATGAATAATACAGTACTTTTAGCACTACATATATTTTGATACATAATACTTACAAAAACAACAAACAATTTTAGGCAGATATTTCCTATTATTTCAAATAAGTCATAACCCTAACTATGTTTTTATGGATTAATATTTCCTAATTCTCTCAAAAGTTTGTAATTATAATAATAAAAGCTATATGGAAAAGTTTCAACACAAAAGGGAACATACCACATCATACACTTTCAAAGTGGGATATATTGTACAAGTAGGACCACAACATTACTTTTCCCACAAAAACATGCGATGAGAAAAGAGTAGACACTTCAATAAGATGGGCCACAATATGCACAATGGAAAAGCTACTAAAAGCACATTCATTTGTATAGAGCACACAAGAAAGCTTTGGAAAGCACATAACACCTAGGAAATAAGGGAAGAGCAGCTCATCTAAACACAAAATAGCTATGGCAGATTCAAAATTATTAGTGGTTAGATTAAAAAAAAAATCAAAGCAACACAACAAAATAGCAAAAGACGAAGTCAAGAACAGGTGACTTACAGGGATTCTTCTCCAGGGTGTCTGGGTAAATTTATCAGCATATATACACTTTTGATCTTTAGATTTCTGATGGCAGTTACACCGGGTTGCCTGGACAAAACCATAAATGTTCAAAATGTTTTTCTTCTGCACATACACATAGACAGACACTATATTAAGAAGAGCAAGCCAAAGTGCAATGCCACTCTGGCTACTTTCATGGCATACATGCCTACACCAGACTTCAAGGTCTATTCAGCTGCCTCCCCCTTTTCAAGAACTGGATTTGAGATAAAGCCAGTGAACTACAACATTTTGCTTGACAATCTTTTAAACTGCCTAAAAAACTCACTACATATGATTTTAGATATATGAAAATGTGCCACATCACTTAGATGGAGGATATATGCAGCAATCAAGGGCATAAGATAATGCTCTGAAAACTTATATTCCTTTTCTTGTTTATTTTGTTTGATCTTACTGTAAAGTACTCTCCTTGGCCCCCAACAGCCATGGATTTGATCAGATGTAACTACTTGCAAGAAAACGTTAAGATTGGTATTCCTTCAAAAGACAGGGTAGAAGGTTCCAATACCTCACCTGAGATTCTGGTCACTCTTTTCTGCACCCTCCACCTGCTATGTCTACCTCTGCCCTAGTTAATGTGGCCCTGTAATCTTGTGAGGTGCTAGAATTTATATTCTGTGGAATATTAACTCCATCTATGTAGCTATGGGATGAAAAGTCCGAGTGGTCTGAGTGCTTTGGGCTCATCCCTGCTCCTTCAAGCAACCCCTCACCCAAAGTCTGAAAGTAAACTAAGTAGACTCATTAGGTCCCCAAGACGGACTTTTTGGTGGAACTGTATTTCAGGCTGATGATGTGCCCTATAAGGAAGAACAGGTGTTTCCTTATAACTCTCCAGAGAAAGTGTTCCAGCAACAAGCACTACAGTTTCTTAAATGGATCTCTGATGGAACTCTACTGAGTATTAAATAAAAGCAGTCCACATGCTTTGTCTGTTCCTCTGTGCAGGGCTACACAGCCTCTTCAATAATTTTTTCCATACTGGAATATTCTGAATTGAAAAATAAATTCTCTACATAATTCTCATCACCTGCCTTTGCCCTGTTAACCATATCCCATGTTTGTTCCTATTCATTCAATCTTAAAAGCACAGAATTCACTATGCTACATCCTTGACATTCTGACTGAAAGCAGTACTTTATAAAGCTGAATTTGCTGTTATGTTGTTGTTTGATTCTGAGTAAATATTCTCTTTTAATTGTGATTTTTATGCAGTATGTTCATTTTAGTCTGGTCCTTTAATTATTACAAACTACCCTATAACTGAATTCAAGGTACTATACCAATGGTTTTCTCATGAGTGTTTGAAATCACAATTATAAAATTATGAAGATTCAATCAAGGCTAACCTGAGGAATCACTTACCATCATTCAGAGTTGAAGTATTTCCCTAGATTCCCTTTCAATATAACCAATGGTCAAGGCCAAGCACTCAGTGTCACTCTACTTACAGACAGAAAATGCCAGGTACTCATTTTATGTCAAAGTTGCATCGCATACTTTAAATGGGACATATGCATTCTAAACACAATGCTACACTGAACTCTGAGAGCCAAACCAATGTCAAGCTCTACTCTAGCCCCATCTTACAAAAGCAAACACAGCTCCTCATGAAGATCCTGTTTTACAGTGTTATAATACTTACAAGCCGATGCTCTAATAGTTGAATTTTTTCATCTTTTTTCTTTATTTCCTCTTTAAGTTGTTTTATTTCATTTAATAAATCTTCATTCTGAAATATGAAAAATACTGTTATATAAAATATTCTAATGTGAAGCATAAAGTCAATGAGGTCAAATAATGAATGAATGATTTGTTCATCTAAAAGGAAATACATTAAAATTTTAGAAAGATTTCATGATCTAATGGCAACTGACATGCAAACATTGGGCTAAATGGAAGTAACTGCTAATATTCATGAAGTTCTCATTTGAATTAGCATTTATGCTGACCTTGGCCACACAGAGATATATGCTGTTTTTCCTTTGCATTAACATAATAAAGAAACTAGGGTAAAGGTCATACAGTAGAGGAAATCACCATCCAAAACTTCAACTAAAATTTCAAGGGACACTTATAAGCTGTCAGGGTGTAATTAATGTATAAAAGAATTTTCAAGATTGTCTCAGAACAGAGGAAAAAAATACAAATATGCCAGATGAGTACCAAGGAGTATTCTGTAAGGAGACACTTTCCTAACAAGTGCTGATTGAAGGAAAAGGAAAGGCACTGGCCAACTCTGTCAACCACACATATCAGTACTGTAAAATGGAAGCCTTTGTCAAGTTAAGCAATATTCTGATGCTATTTCCAAAATGGCAAGTACTGTTAACCTATCCTAGCCCATTTTGTGTACCACTACTCAATTATCCCCATATAGACATATACTGTGAAAGTACTATAAGAAATTAGAATGTATATTATCATCAAAGATTTTTCTAGAACAAAAACATGTAAACAAATATTATGTGTTATTACTGAGCAAAATATGTCATCTTCAGATACAAATAAACACGGATACAGGGTGAATATGATTAAAATAGATAACATACATTTAAGAAACTGTCTTTTTTAACTTTTTTAAAAATGCAAATATTTTAACAAAAGATCACAAATAAACATTAAATGAATTTTTTTGAAATATGATTTAAATCAGAGCTTATAAAAATTTTATCATCTATTTTGTAATTCAGAAAGCCTATAAAAGCTGGACTTGAAGAATAGTTTAGCAAGTAAAACTTCATGAATCAGGAGGAAAAAGATGGATTAGAGAACCTAGACAAAAAGGGAATAGGGACATGAATTAATGTCAATTGTCAATGTGTCTATCATGCAATACTAAACATATGAACAAACTAGAAAAATAAGCAATGAAACCATGGCAATGCAAAAAATTGAAATTAGTTTTGTCTCTTCACAGCAAGTTCCTGTGCTGGTATGGTGGTACATCCTTGTAATCACAGTACTTCAAAAGTGAAAGTGAGAGGACCTGGAGTTCAAGGCTATACAGAGGCTAGCCTCAGCTACACGGGGGCTAGCCTCAGTTATATGGCAGTTACACAGCATTCTGGACTACACAAGACCTTGTCTCATAATTCTTCACTTGTACAAAACCTGATAAAATCTGAGGCGATATTTAATTGGAGGGGGGGGAAATGTCAGCCAGAAAGCTGAAAAAAATTTAGACATTCTCTGAGGTCATCTAAATCACTGGTCTTAAACTGGATGCAAATATGAAACAGTTTTCTAAATAAGCCACAATCTTCTGCAGGTTTGCTGACATGGACCACTACTTCACTACCAGTCATGTGGAAACCCACAGACAGAAAGTGATTGAGTGAGTGACAACAAATGAGAAGGGCCAGATCAGATTAGTAGCCCAACATAACTACTGTGCTATATTCTTAGGATTCAGTTCTTAGTGGATTACTCAGACATCTATAAGCAGTCTATACTCCTCTGTCCAGCTATTTTCAGCCTACACCACCTGAATCATCTGGAAGTAGTATCTGCCATATTCATGAGAATTCATGTGAATGTCTCAAAGTTCTTCTTCCTTTATACAACAATGCTATGCCAAACCACAGGGCTGATCACTCAGCCTCTCAGATTGAAGACAAATAAAACAGAATTTCAGCTAATACACAGACCATGTGTAACTAAGTAAGACTTAACAATATGTTAAGTCACTAATGTTCTGAGATTATCTATTATTGCCATGACTAGCAAACATGGGCCATTACAGCCTGGAAATGGAAAATAAATGCCTTGAAAATATCAAATGAATCAAAAATTATCTGTGTACACTTGAGAAACAGTTGTAAAAGCTATCCACTAAAATCTAAAGATCATGAAAATTATATTTCCAATTGCTTATTAAAATATGTATAGATTCTATAATTAGAATTTCAAATATGGGAAGGATAACCACATTACTTGAAAGTTTCTTCAGTTCTATGAATATATGAAGTACCTCCTACCATTTTAATTTTATTGGAAATCTTATTTTGATAATTTTTATTCATGGTTATAAGCAACAGTAATAACACAGGGGCCAATTACTTTCCAATGACAAGGAAGGATAATTTAAAGGAATACGTCACTGGGTTATCATTTTAGTTTCATACAGCAGCAAAGGTTCAGAAGAAATGTGACTGTTTTCCCAGAATGCGAGGCTCTAGGCTGTCCTGTTTTCTGTAGTAGAGATTAATCTGATTCATGGCCTTGTGGATGTTAAACAAGTATTTGGCCACTGAACTACCTCAGACATTTTTGTGACAGTATCTCACTACATTATCTGGGCTGACCTGGAACGTGTTGTGTAGCACAGGCAGACTTCTAATCAGTCTCCTGGGATACATAGACATGTGCCACTATAACCTGCTAAAACCTCTATTATTTAAAGCTTAAAATGTTATCACTGTATTACTTTTAGAGTAAAGACTTTGAAATCTTCAGCATAACTAGCTAGCCATACCTTATATATCTGATCACCATCTTCTGGCTCTGGACTGGATGACAATGATAGCTCAACATCATTCAATGATCCACTTCCATCATGCTACCAGGAAAAGACGGAAAAGACAAAAGATTAATGCAATAATCACCAACATTCACTTGAACTTCAACTGCCCCTAGCTCAAACACGGGCACAGAACGAAAAGTGAGACTTCAGAAGCCCCTCTCATTCCTGCACTGGCAGAAGGAAATGTGGAAAGGAAAGGGAGTGGGGCGAAGATAACCTGAGGAAAGAGCACATCCACTGAACAGTTAGTTAGAAAAGGACTACAGAAAACACCCTAAAAACATTTAAAATTAACTCAGCCAAGAAAAACTGGGAACTCCAGTCGAATAGTATATTGAAACTCATCAAATCCTGGCCATAAAAATCATTTGATAAAATACTAGATACTTAAGAATATGTATCACGTGACTCTACATAAGACATCTGGAAAAGAAGGCCAAATGGTATACAGTGCTGGAAATCTGGATAGACACAGACAAAGGTACTGAGTATGAAGGAACATTGAGACACATATAAGAGGAAGCCGGGAATGCTCTATGTCTTAATGAGAAGGTGCTATATAAATCTACATACTGCGAGTTCAAGCTTGTGATTTCAGCACTATGTCTTCAGCTCTACTAGCTACAGAATGTATCCCCAGTAAGAAAAGAATGAGAAATATAATATTTTGTCCTTTGAACATCAGAATGTTAAATGAGAGGATACTATTAAGTTCTAGTCTTTTCTAAACTGACTTACTAATTAAAAAAAAAAAAAAAGTTCAATGATTCAAAGAGACAATCTCAAGAAAGATGAACCAGTGCAGAATATGCCACAGATGATGCTGAAGAGCTGAGCCTGAGCAATGCAGCACAACTTTCACAGCACCAACAATACTGCCCTTATCATTCATACGTGTTCAAAGCCCACACAACCATGTTTTACCTGAACTGAGGCAGGTGTGCCTGATTAGGAGAGGGGGGCATTGGGTGATTTGTTACAGGACAATCAGAGTCTGTAGATATGGGCTTATTTAGCATTTGCCAGATTCTCAGCATTTGATAAATTAACATTTCTACTAGTGATAGTATAGACACTAGGACCTGAGAGGAGAGGCAGTATCTTGATAACAGAAAAGTGTGTTTGTGTGTGTGTGTGTGTGTGCGTGTGAGTGCACACACACACACACACACACACACACGCACCATCCTCAGGAATGACATCCATTTCTTGTGAGGCAGTCTTCCACTGGCCTACGACTTAGCAATGAGGCTAGGGATAGCCTCCTCTCTCTGCCTCCCTAGTGCCACCACACACCGGACATTTCACATGGGTACTGCGGATCAAGGACCAGATCCTTGTGTTCTCAAGACAAGTGTTCAACTGACTAAACCATCCCCCTTAGTCCCAGAACATTAAATTTTGAAAATGGTTTTAAAACAAAGAGAAAGGGAAGAAATTTCAATAGGAAGTCCAACTCTACTCTAATGGCATGACACATCAATGCAGGGTAAATCTTACAAATAAGTACATTTGAGAAAAACAGGCTCTGAAAATTTAACCTATTTCCAATTATCTTCCTGTTTACTGTACAGAACCCCAAAGAATAAGGGAAAACAAAGCAGATATTGTTTTGCAATGGCTGTGGGTGTAGTTGTGAGACATATAAGAGAGAAGAGGGAAAGGGGGTGAGACAGGAAGAGACAGAAAGAGAGGGAGAGGAAGAGAGAGAGAGAATAGGAATATAGCAGGAAAACCATTAAATTGCATCTAAATTGGTCTTGAATAGCTTATTATCAAAGTTAGAAAGATAGCCAAGAAGTAAACTAAAAGCAGATCCAGCAGGCCCCAACTAGCTTCTGCTGAACACGTAATTCAACTGTGGTTTCCATCCAGAGCTTGTACCCTGAAGCCTATTAGACCTTTCCCTACTACAGGAAAGCGGTAGGGGTGTGTGTGTGTGTGTGTGTGTGTGTGTGTGTGTGTGTGTGTGTGTGTGTGTGTGTGTGTGTTTGTGTTTCATCATAGAATTTAAACAAGACAAAAACTTCAAATAGAAAAAAATGTCAACTCATACAAACACCAAAACCATAAATAACACAGAATTTTGAATTAACTAGAAGAGATATATTACTAAGTTATCAAAAAATGTTCAAAACTAAAAGTGAAGTAAATAGAAGAAAATGTCTTATTCCACAAATAAATAAAATACATAAGGTAAAATAATTGACAATTTTTATATTTACTTTTAAAACTTGCTATCAGTATTATGAAAACAACAGAAATGATCCAATTTAATCAATGAAGAGAAAAAACACTGACCAGGAAAATGAAATTAAGAGTCTCCTCAGGGGTGTATGGAGGCAATAAAAAGGGGCATCACACTTAGTCACTGATGTCACAGAAGAAACAGGCAAGCATGAAACATGGGAGCTAAGAATTTAAGAAGCTCTACTCAAAGGACTGAACACACAAACTAGGTCCTATGAAGACGGGATCCCCTCATGACAGGATGACTCTCAGAATCTGGAAAGGAAAGTAAACCTCTAATCCTGTATGGGTCTAAAGAGAAGGGCACAGGTAAATGAGAGAATGATGTTACAGATCAAAGTTTATGGAACGCAACTAAAGCAGTGCTTAGGGAAAGTGGTGGCTAGAAAGGCTGACATAAATAGGTGTCAGTCACACTAGAACATAATAAACCAAGAACAAGTAGAGAAGACAAACTAAACAGTAAAGAGCAGACAGTAATGAAGCAAAACACAATCAATGAAACTAGTAAGTTTCTTTGGCCAGGAGTGGTGGCAACTGCCTTTAATCCCAGCATTGGGAGGCAGGGAGGCAGCAAGTTCCAGGCCAGCCAGGCAAATATAGAGACCCTGTCTCGAGAAAAACCAACCAACCAACCAGTCAACAAACACGTTCCTTCAGAACTATGAGAACATGCCGCACAACTGCCAAAGGTGGACAGGGAATGCAAACCAAGATTAGTTCCAGGAGTGGAAACAGAGGGTCATTAAAATCTCTCAGATGCTGATAATCAAGAGCCAATCACATGCACAGTTCTATGTATACAAATTTGAAAATAAAATGAAGAAGTTTCTCTAAAACTAGAAAGTGTTCAAACTCATCTAAGATTAAACAAATACCCTGTAATAAGCCCATGACTATCAATGAAAATGAATTTAAATTTGAAAGTTTTTCAAAGTGAACCTTTCTGTCCACATCCCTGACAAGACAAAAAATAGAACAAGTAAAAAAATGACCAATATTGTTCACAACAAAGATGCAAAATTCTTTAACATAATACTGAAAATCAGATTCAACATATCTAAAAAGCAAAGTATGTCGTGAACAAATGAGATTAATTCTATAAATATAAGACTATAAATGAAAGGAATGTAATCATGCTATCAAAAACAAAACATCCCAGCACATGCCTGTTATCCCAGCACAAGGGACACTGAAGAAGTGGTCAGAAAGCAGTCTGAGCTACACCAGAACTCTAGGAAGGAAAAGCAGGGGTAAGGAGGAAGAGAAATGAGCAGAGGTGGGGTGGGGATGGGGGGGACAGGTAGCCAAGTAAAGCAGAGTACTCACAAAGAAGCTAGAGAAGCCATAAGCTGGTGTTATTGTATAATGACTTCATTTGTAACACTTTTGAATACACAAAAACCTCTAAAAGTTAACTTCTGCAGCCGATAGCAAACTGTCAAACTCCTGTTCCAGGATACAAAAGTACTGACACATCCTTAAGAATTTATTTCATACCAACACTGTCCTTTATTATCAGGGTATTAGGATAGAAGTCAATTTAAAAACCAAGGCACCATATATTTTCTTTTCCCCAGACAGGGTGTCATGAAGCCCAAGCTAGACTCAAACCTGCTGCATAGCTAAGGATGACCTTGAATTCCAGGCCTTTCTGCCTCACCCCCAAGTGTTGGGATTAGAGGCAAGGTGGTACCATGCTTAGTTTAATGAGATAGTTGGAACCAAAGCCAGGGCTTCAGGCCCAGCAGGCAAGGACTCTACCAACTGGGCTATCTCTGCAATCCCCAAACTAATATTGTAAAACTGGGGGAAACTGCACAGGCTAGCCTAACATAAGTAGCAATTATTAATAATTAAGTTGTTACTATATCTTAATGTTTTAAAATTTTTGCACTTTATTTTTTAAAGACTAGCAATTTAGATTTAGAAGATCACAGGGGAAATAAGCTTTTACTTAGATCAAAGCATAAGAGCTTAATGATCATAACATACTCTCCACCTGAATTAATTGGTAAGACTCCTCCCTTAAATAAGACACAGTGGTAGTATTCTACTTAACCTTGACTAAGATGAAAGCATCTGGGCCAAAATTAGAAAATACTTTTGAGACATGTGGAAACAGAAAATTATGCATGGATTGAAAGCATTTTAATTTTAAAGATGGTTTAGCAGGCAAGGGCATTCGTCCCCAAGCTTGATGACCTGAGTTCAATCCCTAGGAAGCACATGGTAGAAGAAGAAAATAAACTCTTCCAAGTTGTTCTTTGTTTGTCCTCTGCGCTAAACACGCGCGCACGCGCGCGCACACACACACACACACACACACACACACACACTTAATTTAACAAATACTAAAAAATAATATCACACATGGTTTCCTACTTCACATTATACACAATAAGAAAGTAATACTTATTGATGTTGGACACTGTTTTGAGTGTTCTGCATAAGCATATACACGTACATAAGAAAAAAGAAAAAGTACACCTACCGAACAAAACATAAGTTTAGTTAACTGCCCAAATAGTCTGGATTTTTACTGAGTGAAGGAAGTATCAGCAGTTTCTTTAGACTTTGAATTCTAAATGCACTTATAATGCTAATGTATTCAGCAACAAATCACAAAAATGAATGTGTTTTCAGACTGAGAGTTGAATCCAGGGTCTTGTTCCCACTAGGCAAGAACTCTACCACTGAGCTACACCCCCAGTCCACACTGGCATTTTAATAAAGATGAAAACACCTTCTCATCTAAAACCATGAAAGATTTACTCTCAGCCAGA